GAAGTGGTTACCCCAGAATGATCTGCTTGGTATGTCGGGAGAATGTGAGGTGTAGGTCGAGCCAGGCTGAATGCAGAAATGGCTAAGGCAGAGCTAATGTAAAGGACCGGATAGCTTGACAGCAGCACGGCCAGCAGGCCTCCCGCGTGTGTCTCCTGTGGGCTGTGGCTGTCTCTGCTCGCTGCCGCCAGGGACTTGTGGAGGTGGAGCTGAGCGCCCTCGCTGTGCACCGGAGACTCAGCCACTTGACCACCTGCGTCTCTCCCTGTTGTGCTTCTCAGGTCACCCGAAGACCCGGGCGTTTATCACGCATTCTGGCTCCCACGGTATCTACGAAGGGATCTGCAATGGGGTCCCCATGGTCATGATGCCCTTGTTTGGCGATCAGATGGACAACGCGAAGCGCATGGAGACGAGGGGAGCGGGTGTGACCCTGAATGTCCTTGAAATGACCTCCGATGATTTAGGAAATGCTCTCAAGAAGGTCATCTATGAGAAAAGGTAAGAGAAAAGCTGCAGAAGAATGCGACCTGTGTTGTCCCCTTCCCTCCGCTCTCCTCCTTCTCCTCTCCCTGCCTCCTCCTCCACCTTCAGAAGGAACGTGTCTTAGGTGTGGGTGTTTCCTGAGTAGTATAGAAACACATTTCCCTACCTCATTTAGGAAATGTGGTCGCCCCGAACTGGAAGCAGGTGTAAAGGTAGGACTTGCGCTGCCCTGTGTCCCAGGCACTTACATAACTGTCCTGTGCTTAGCTACAAGGAGAACATCATGCGCCTGTCCAGCCTGCACAAGGACCGCCCCATAGAGCCTCTGGACCTGGCTGTGTTCTGGGTGGAGTTTGTGATGAGGCACAAGGGGGCGCCGCACCTGCGCCCTGCAGCCCACGACCTCACCTGGTACCAGTACCACTCCTTGGATGTAATCGGCTTCCTCCTGGCCATCGTGCTGTTGGTGGCCTTCGTCGCCTTCAAGTGCTGTGCCTATGGCTTCCGCAAATGCTTTGGGAAGAAGGGGCGAGTGAAGAAAACCCAAAAATCCAAGACCCATTGAGAAGCGGGTTGGGAGAAAAGGAAAAAGTTTTGCTCCATTTTCTAATCAAACGCAAACTTGAAAATAGAGTCAGTGTTAAATTCTTTTTATGCTCATGAAAGAAATCCTTTGGGTAAAGTTAGACATCCTCAAATATTTCTGAAAAATAAAAATAATCGGATCACTGGTCATCCCTATAGGCAACAGTTTTCAAATATGGATTCTGCCTCCCCAGTATCTTGAGTTATCAAATGACTTGCAGAGGGTGTGCTTTTCTTAGATAAGTTGCCTCTTTGGGAGTACAGGATTCAGAGGTGGGTGGAGGTTCCCCTCACTTCCGGGATGGTTTTATGGTCATGATTCCTGTAGCCTTCCCTTGTCAGTAGCCCAGCGCTGATGGTTGGTCCCTCTTACCGTCATGCTTGCTGGGTGTCGCTCTTTGTGTTCAGAGGAGACCTTTGTAATTTTAGGGTATCAGTGAATGGCTTGGAATCCTTGAAAACAGTGTGATTTCTAACTTTGGGGAGAAGACAGATGGGTGATGTATTTGAGATGATAAGAACTGATTGTGCCAAATGGATGTGGTAGAACCAAAGTATAATGCTGGGGACTATATTTTTTCTAATGTTTGTCATAGCTAAAATGTTATTAATAAATTCACATGAATTCTATTTCTGAGGTGTTTTTCTCATCAGTGGTGTTGCATCTATTTACATACTATTACACTGCATTGTCTAATGTTGAGAGTAATATGTGATGATTACAGGAAGTGGGAAAAGTCTGGAGGTGTGCACACACATCACATGTGCACACACACACTCACACGTGCACACTCGCCAGTAATTACAGTGCCCAGAAACAACCAGTGTCAGTAGTATGGTTTGGATCTTGAGTGTCCCCCACAATCCTGTGTGCTGAAGGCTTGGTCCCCAGCGTATGGACAGTAGGAGGCAGTGGATCCCTTAGGTGATGGGCCTACTGGGAAGAAGTTATGTCACCAGACGGGCCCTTGAGGGGACACAGGGACTCTAGCTTCCTCCTCTCCCTCACCCTCTCCCTGTATCTCTCCCTCTCTCTCTCTCTCTCTCTCTGCTTCCCAGCCTGCATGAGGTTAGTGGTTTCTACCACCCCCCACTCCTACAATGTGTCCGCCTTGACAACACACTTAAACTAACAGGGCCGAGGGATCAAGGACTGAAACCTGTGATTTCTAACACGCATGTGCTATGCTTAGGGAAGTTTTGTGAACGCAGCTACTATTGTGGGAAGTACATATACTTATAAAACACTGTGGCCTTAGTGTATGTGGGGGACTGTTGCACATCTGTAATTTCAGCTCTCTGAAAGGCTGAGGCAGGGGGATTGCAAGTTGGAATCCAGCATGGAAACTTAGTCATTTAATGAGACTGCCTCAAAATAAGAGATAAAAGAAGGCTGGAGAAGTAGCTCAGTATGAAGACCTTGGGTTCAATCCTCAGTAACACACACACACACACATTTCATTACTGTAACAAAACATTTAAGGCAAGTAACCTATAAAGAGCAAAGGTTTATGTAGCTCACAGTTTTAGAAGCTCAAAAGCGTGGCCCCACATAGTAGGAGCCCAAGTTGGAGCCAACAATGGATTTTATCTGGACTTGGGTTTCTGGGGGTCTGATTTCCTGACTGAAAGCATTTGATTTCCTTCTGTTGACATTCATCTCCACAGCAATGACACCCTCCTTAGCCACACCCTTACATCTGTTTAACTCCCTTCCTGACCAGGTTTTCAATTTTATATCTTTGTGTTCTGCTCCCTTTTGTCCCTGATCCTCCCTGTAAATGTGGCTCGAACCACACAATGACATCCATTCCACAGTCTGAAGGATTTGCCATTCAGAGATTTTCCTCTGGTAAGGTCGGCCATGCACGGTCTCAGGGAATGGACACAATGGAGCTGAATTCTTTGCCACGGTGCTGCAAAGGTGCTCTTTTCTCCAGGTCACCAGTGAGATCCTCGTTTCCACCTGAAACACCCACAGTGCCTTCCTGACCACATTTGAGCTCGTGTTCTGCTCATCTGAGCCCTCAGTGGTGGCACCCACAGTGCTCCCTCGGCAGCTCCTTCGGCTTTCCCTCCAGCTCTTCTGAACCCGTCCCACCTTTCCCATTAGCCAATTCCCAAGGGCCCTGCATCTTTATACACGATCACAGCTGGTCAGCTTCCCATCGCAGCATCGGAGCGCCCGAGGGAACCAACTCACAGAAGGGAAAGGTTTATTCAGTCCATGCACTTAAGCTCACAGAGTCCTACAAGTACAGTGCATAATTATTTCCCAGTTATTTCCTGAAGAAGCGGAGATGGAACCTCCATAGAACGGTGCCTCCCAAAAGAGGCCGATCTGTGGACTGGATTCCATGCGAGGTCAACACCACTGTTGCAAGAAGAGAAAAATAAAAACATTTTCATTTTTGAAAGCCAGCAATAACTTGCTTTAACTTTACTCTTATGGCCCAAGTGTATTCTCCAAATAACATGGTCAAGGATAAGGAACTTTTGTCGAGGCTTACATTACATTCTCACTCTACCTGCAGTTTATAAACATCGCCCCTTTCTCTGCACACTCGATAACCATGCTCTTCTTCAGATTTTAAGTGGAAGTTCTCCCGAAGGAGCCGTGAGCGGGCAGGGCTCTGAGCCTCATGCTGCTGGCCCACAGTGCCCTCCAAGTTTTCCCAAGGGCTCCTATTTTGTGCTGCAAAATACTGATCTGGATCTGCTGCCTTAGCTGCAGGTGATGGGAAATACTTGGGGACCTGCTTTTGCTTTGGGGAAGCAGGACCACTGCACTCTTTGTGCTTCTTTATCATCTAAGTGTTCTCCACACCACACATACCCACTCCTTAGCAAGGAGAGTCCTTTCCTGCAACCTATCTACCATTCCCTTCTCTCCCCTCTCTTTCTCTCTGCCCTGACCACACCTCCCCACCCTGGGCTCCATCCCAAGAGGACGCGGTTGGGAATCACCTGACTCCTGACAATGTCCCTATCACAAACAGGCCACCATACATAACACACATATGATACGTGGTAACAGACATGTTTAACAACAGCGTGACATGGAGTTTAATCCCAGGGCCCTGTGTACTCTTCCAAGGCCTGGGATGATAGAGACTCAAGGGGGCAGTTGGATGTCAACATTCCGAGGGCCAGGCATCTAGTGAAAGCCTCCCACCCTGCCAGAAGACGCACTCCTCATGAGAATAACAACAGAGGGGCCCAACTGTCTCACCTGGACACCTGGTCCTGCCACTGCTCAGATGTCCTTGGATGTACAGTAGGCAAGGAACAGAGCTTTATCTTATGCTGTATTCTTGTTCCATACAGAGGCCTGGGAGGAAAGGTCAGTATTTAGGTCCCAAAGTAGGATTGAAGGATTTCCCGGAGGGTAAAGGTGCAAGGTGGTAAAAGGCCCTGGACCTTAGAGATGGAGGAACTTGACATAGGGAGAGAAATGTTCCCAGAGCTGTGGATCTTTCACCCCTGAGAAGGCATGGAAGTTGAGAGAGCCCTGCAGAGGAGTGGCAGTGTGGCTGAGTGCCTTGGTCATGATCTTTCCGTGTTTAGCAAAGAGAAATAGGCTCTTGCATTTGCCTTCAATTGCTGTGTAACAATTGCTGTGTAACAGATGGCCACCCCCTCCCAAGGGGCCTTGCGGGGCACCCAGTTTCACAATTTTTGAGGGCCAGGAGCCTGGATGTGGCTCAGCTGAGTCTTTGGCTCAGGGTCTTAGAGGCTGAAGTCCAGGTCTCAGCTGGGCTACCTTCTATCTGGAGCTCAGTCCCGTTCCAAGCACTCCTGATTGTTGGCAGAGCTCGGTTCCTTGTTGTTTTAAGATGGAGACTTCCAGCTACTCTCCATATAGCCTCTGCATGGGCATCTGCATCTCAGCTGCTGTCTGCCCCCATCCTGCTAAGACAGAGTTTTACATTAAGAATGTCATCACAGGAGTGGCTTCCCAGCCATTCTGCCCTACAGGGCCACCCACCCCGGGGAGGGCCCTCCCCCAAAAGCTGCCATCGTCTCCCAGTCAAGATGGGCCTCTTCCTCACCGTCGCCATGTTCTGTTGCTTAGAATCAAGTCACAGGTGCTGCCTGCACTCGAGGGCAAGGTGTGCGTGAAGAGTGTGCATCTGAAAGGGTCACCTCGGGGTGGGGCTACGCCGAGTATCTGACCAACCTCACTTGTCCCCAAAGAATCTGAGGAGGAGATGGCAGAGGCAGCCACGGACTTGAGTGAGGATGACTTGGTGGAGATGGAGGCCATGCGACCCCCTGAGTCAGATGGTAAGGAAGTCCCCGCACGCCTGCACCTGGACCGCAAACCCCTGCCACCCCTCCTGGAAGGCAGGCAGTCCCAGCCTGCGTCTCAGTTTCCCCATCTGCGCAGGGACGTTGCAGGCCTCCAGGTGTAGGGGAGGCCGGGGAGCTGCTCCCGCGAGAGTGACCTGTGTGATCTCTATCTCAGGTACCTTCCAACAAGTCACCAACCTCCTGAACAGCATGGACAACGAGTCAGCAGAGGTGGACACGGCCCCGGCAGGTCCAGACCCGCGGAAGATCCTGGCCGAGGGATAATCACAGAGAAGGCCGCCGCGGACCCTGCTGTGGTGCTGAACGCCCTGGTCCACTGCCTGCGGGCGCTGGAGGTGGGGACGCCTCGCCCGGGCTGCAGCCTCGGCAGAGCTCAGCAGCTTGGCCTGCGTGTTCGTGTCACCCCCACCCCTGCCCACACACATTTCCACCCTTCCCGCCATGCACATGGTGGGACGCAGAGATGGGCCGCACCGGCAGATCCTTCCTCGGGGCCTCTGACACTCACTTCACAAGCTCCCTTGCACCGTGACCGTGGGTATGGGAGTCACTCATGTGCTGTGGGTTCCTGAGTGTCTCCGTCTCCTCAGGTTTTTCTAACAGAGCACCACGTAGTGTGTGGGCTGAGCATCAGAAATGTATTTTCGCCCAATTCTGGAGCCAGAAGGCCCTGATCAAGGCGCCATCAGCTTGAGATCTGCAGAGGGCTCTCTGGCTTGCAGGCAGCTGACTTTTGCTGTCCTCACAAGGCTTTTGCCCTGTGCAGGCAGGGATGGATTGGGCCCTTCTGCCTCCACCTCCTTTTATGAAGACCTCAGCCCCACAGGATGAGGGATGTGCTCTTGTGACCTATTTAACTCCAGACCTCTCTGAGGCCCATTCCCAAGTCCCCTGTCACCGGGGAGTGGGCATCAACACTCATGGTTCGAGAGAGTTCATTTCAGTCCTGTTTGGTTTTGTTTTTGTATTGCAAACACAAGCTCACAGGCAGCTTTTGCACTATCTCTGGGAGTGGGCTAACTCTGGGAAGGGCGGTCTCTCTAGGATCCCCAGATATCAGAGCATCAGAAAATACAGAAAGTAATAATGATGTTGCCTAGGCCCCAACCAGGGATTAGTGCCGATGAGCAGACCATAGACAAGTTGGCGTATTTTCAAAAAGGAACATGCATGGAAGACTCTTGCGCATTCCTTAATTAGGGAAGAACTGCTTAAATGTCAAAAGCTGTGCACCTCAGAAGTTTTCCAACAGAGATTTATATTCTTTACCAGATAAACCCCTTCGCTCTGCCCTGAGCGGGAATGACTCATAGCTGTGAGAAGGCATTCGCATTTGTAATAGTTTTCTACAATTTATCTTCCCGCCTTACAGAGCTGTAAAGTAGACGAGGCAATCCCAATCAGTCAAGGCACCTTCCAGAGCCTGAAGGTCCCGGGCATCTGGCAGGCAGCCCCAGGCCCTCCTCGGGATACCACCCAGTGATCACTCTCTCCAGTTTCCAGGCTGTTCAGTGTTTCTCTTGTGATCATCGGCATCTCCCAAACCCTTCTATCCTCCTCCATCATTTCCTCCCCACCCTCCTCCGTCCTCCCTTCTCCCTTTCTTCCTCCCTTTCTCTCTCTGTCTTCTCTTTGAGAAACACATCATAAGGGCCTACGTCTGGGGTGCAATGTGGTGCTCCAAGCTCTGTGTACAATGCGCAATAGTGAGTCTGAGTGCTGAGCCTATTCATCACCGCAATTTCCACTCCTGGAGATGAGTGCATGGGAAATCCACCCTTGAGGCGCTGCACTATTGCTAGCTGTGTCCGCCCTCTTGTGCAATGGAGCACCGGCACGTTCCCCTGCTCCAGAGCTGTGCCCTTGCACCTCAGCCTGGCTCCTCTCCCCCTCTCCCCTCAGCTCTGGGAACCACCACTTGACTCCCAGTGTCTCAGCTAATGGCTCTTGACTTCCACACATGAGTGCGACCTCACAGTACTTGGCTTTTTGTGCCTGGATTAGTTCACTTAGGGCAATGTCCTGCAGGCCGGTCTGTGTGGTCACCGATAGGGCTTCTTCCTGTCATGCTGAGTAGGATCCTGCTTCGTGCATGGACCATGGTTCCGTTACACAGTCACCCACTGGTAGGCATTGTGGTTGACTCGTTTCTTGGCTATTGTGACTCTGATGATTGAAGATTGTCCTTGATCACACGGAGACCGGCCTTGTGATTTGTCTAGTCATTCATATAAGGTTCAGTCAGGGTGTTCACTAAGCATTTAAGCCTATTTCAATGTACTTTGGAAGCCTAGAGCAGGCATTCTCAGGACGGTGTTTCTGCCTCCAAAAGAAATGAAGATTCTACTGTTTAACGTATGACATATATACAAGCACGTGTATAGTAGAATTGTGCTATTAAAATTTCACTCGGTGGGGGGATGTCTCAAGGGCTCCTTGGAGGGCAATAACAAAACCAGAAGAAAGGCTGAGAAACACTGGTCTGGAGCCATGCAGTATGGAGTAGGCTGCAGCACTGTCTGTGTCCGGAGTTATCAAAGGCAACTCTGGCCAAATCTTAGCGGCCTTCACTGTTTGTTATCCCAAGACTGGGTAAGCAACACTCAGATTTCTGCAGTGCATTTTGCCAACAAGACTTGTAAATCTGTGTGAATCGTTCCCTTTGTGGGGTCCCCAAATCTGCCAAGGATTTTGCACCTCCTACCACTTTCCCTGAGGGCTTGGGAGGCAACAGCAGTACTTGTCTTTGGACCCAAGCTCTTTTCCCTCAGAGTGGCTTGTCACACCGGGCCAAGTCAGAGTCACGTGAGATCAGCATTATCCAGGCACAGTGTCGGGTGCAAACCTGTCCGTCCAGCCTCACTGTCAGCTGGGTCATTCTAGAAGGTGATAAGTAAGGCCCATGTAGAATGAAGAGAGGAGGAGGCAGGACTCCTGGTCTGAAATGCTCCCATGCCAGGGCACAGGGCAGGGTGAGCGTGCTTCCTCAGACTTTCAGGATGGTTGGTGTGAAGACCTTGTATGTGGAGCGCTTGACACCCACTTTGCTTAACAGCAGCTGAAACAGGAAAGGGAGATTGATTCACAAGTCACATCAGTGAGGCCAGCGGGAGGGGCGGGAGGGAGAGGGGAGAAGATGGAGATAGAGCAGTCCGCATCTGAGAGGGGTGGCTGCGGAATGGTGGTGGCCTTCCCTATCCAGGACGGGGTGGGCCGGGAAGTGGACTTGTGGTGCTTGGGCAGGACAGGGTCTGTCCCAGACCCAGTGGCCCGGCCCACGGCCTTCTCACCACTGTACTCGCTTCCCAGATCTCCACCCAGCGCAAGTTCTACATCACCACGTTCTCCAGGACATCATCCAGCAGGAGGGGGATCTGGGTGAGCAGTGTGTGCAGAGCCTGGTCTCCATCGCCTCCCAGGAGACGAGGGCGCTCCCTGAGGTGGCGGGGCCCCAGCCCCCTCGTGCCCTCCCTGTGCCAGTGCAGGAGGTGGGGAAGCCTGGGAAGCCCAAGGCCGTTGCGCTGTCACCTCATGGGGCCCAGGAGTAGGAGGGTGGAGCTGGTGTGGGGTGAGGGGAGGGTATGAAGGCCCAGCTGATGGCACCGCACATGTCCCCTGAAGATGGAGGGCTACGTGACAGCAGAGGTGGCCAGTGACACCCTGGTGGCTCTGTCCCGAAACCACTTCAACTTGGTCATGTACGAGCTGCAGCATCACCTCAAGCCTCTTGTTCTTTCTGACGAATTTGTCATTGCACCTTGGCCAAGCTGGCCAATGGCAACGGTAGGGCCCTGAGGCCCCTCCCAGCTCTGCCCGTTCAGATCAGCCTGGTGCCCTCCCGTTCACCCCTGTCTCTCTGCTCCTCTCTGGCTGTGCCTCTACCCGCCCTTTCCAGTTCTGTCTTCATCCTTTTCCTCTCTATTTGTCTGTGTGTCTCTCCACCGATAATATTCTGTTTTGCCCCTCAGTTTTGTCTATTTTTCTCACTCTCACACCTGCCCCTCCTCTTCCCCTCTCTCTCCTGTGCTGTCTTTGCTTTCTGCCTTCTCTCCTCCATTTCTCTTTTTATTTCTATTCTCTCTCCCTCCCTTTCCCTTCATTCCACAAACCTGCGCTCTGGGTGGACCTTGTGATGGACACTGAGCCACAGTATGGTCCCTGCCCTCAGAAAGGCCATAAACAAGTAGATAAGAAATCTCATGTTTACATTATGAGATGATGGAAATGAAGAGACCAGCCACGTGGCCACTGGAGGTCAAGAGCTGGGAGACCCTCGTGTGTGCAGGACCGTATTGGAACCGTGATAGGCAATGTCAGGGCTGGGGCCGGGGCGGACACTGTCAACGGCCGTTAGATGGGCCTGGTGGGCAAACTGTGTGAGGAGGAAGGCGCAGAGGAATCGAGCGACTGGGTGCCTGGCAGGCTCCCTTCCTGACCCGGAGCTAGACAGCCCCAATGCTGAATCTGGTCTGGTGAGATGTCCCAGCAGAGAGGCCGGGCAGGCAGCGCATTTCTAGGAGTAGAGTTCAGAGGGCATGGGTGACCACAGAGGGAGGTGGTGTTCAAGGCTAGTGATACCCAGGGAGGAAAGCAAAGGAGAAAAGCTGGGAGCCAGAACCCAGCCTGGCAGGGGCCCAACTTGGAGCAGTCTGAGGAGGAAGAAGTAGCACGGAGACCTGAGGCCTAGGGAAGAAGGGCAGGTGCTCCCCACTTAGGAGGGGTCTGGCCTGATAGAGTCAGCGTGCTTTGGGAACGCCATGTGTAAAATACATTGGATCCATGCAGTTTGCATCACAGTGCTCTGCAGGGCCTTGGCCCTGTCCTTGGTGATGGTTATTGTGGAGGAGATCTGAGGCCCTGCCTGGGGCTTCTCAGCCTGGCCACAGAGTGTCTGCCTGGGAGCAAAATCCAAATTCAAACTCGGAAACATGGCCATCCAGGGGCCAGTGTAGAGTCAGGCCCTGTGAGCCAAGACCCTGTGCCCTTCAGCATGGCTGAGGCACCCACTGTGCCCAGTTCTGCCAATCAGCAAGAGGATGTTAGAGAAGGAGGGACAAGTGGGCGAGTCTCCCTGCATGCTGGAGCATTGGGAGAGAAAGAGAAAAAGGGGTGCATCCGGGGGGCACCTGGGCCTGGGGTGCTGCCACCAAAGAGCCTGGAGAGAGGTACCCAGCCAGGAGGGTGAACACAGATTTTATTATTTCATTTTTACAAATCTGTGTCATTCACAGCAATCAGGTGTGAAGAAGGGAGGGTGACACCTGTCCCGGAGAGTCCAGGCAGGGCTTGGAGGAGGGCGGCCCCCTTTTGGAGCGCGGGTCTTTCCCTGTTTCTCTTCCCTCTTTCCCTGGGATCCTCAAGCTGTCTCCTGCTGCTACTCTAAGGGATCCTCTCTCTTCAGGCGCTGTGCCTCTCTCCCAGCCCCCGCCTCCCTTTGGCGCCCCCTGCAGGCTCCTCTGTCCTTCCTCTTCCCTCCCCATTCTCCACCTTTTTTCCTTGCTCCTCTTCACCCGCTTCGTGCTCACCCTGGTCACTGACGACCGACCACTCCAACACTGCTTCCCGCGACCCTGCCAGGAGACTGCTCTCCCTGACTCTGGGAAGTCAGAGGCTTCAGGCGGCCACGAGAGGGCTTGTCCACTCTGCCTTCCTGGCTCGCCTGGCCCTGAAGACGCTCTGTGACTTCTCCCCCCGCCCCACAGTATTTGAGTTCATGCCGTACATGGGCATCACGCTGGCTACAATATTCACGATGCTGAGACTCGCTGAGGAGGCCAAGATGCGCCGGGTGATCTGTGGTAGTGTGTGAACGCAGCCTGCAGGTCCAGGGCCTCATCGGGAGGCCGGGTGTGGGGCCGTTGAGCCAGAGGCTTGCTGTGCACTAGTTCCTGAGCCTTAGCTCAGCCTTCCGCTTTGTCTGGCCTCTCACCGGCTCTCAGGGACAGTGGCGGGGACACGTGGGCGGCGCATAGATCGTGACTTAGGGGGAGGAAGCCAATGCGGTGAATCCAGTTGAGGACTTCCTTCCTAGGAGAGGGAGGTGAGGACAGTGCCTCCCCATGGCTTGGGCAGGTCTTTGATGCTGTCTAAATCTGATGAACTCAAGAGTTGATTACTTCACATCTTCCTCCCCCGCAATCCTGGGGATTGAACCCAGGACCTCCACACTGAATCATATCCCCAGTCCTTTTTTATTTATTTATTTTTAGCTTTTGTTTTGAGACAGGACCTGGCTGTTTCCAAGTTGCCTGGGCTGGGCGCAAACTCTTGATTCTCCTGCCTCACGCTCTCAGCATGCTGGAATTACAGCCCTGCTCCCACACCCCGCGTTACTTAGTATCTTTCTGAGCTAAGAAACCCCAAGGCCCCGGGACAGTAGGTCAAATGCGCCTGCTGCCTCGTGCCCTGGACTCCCCAGCTGTAGGTAGAGCTGAATTCCAGGCCTCCCCTTTAAGCCTGTGTCCTCCTGGGCAAACTGGTGAGCTCACCTCCCACACTCTGACGGAAGTAGGAGTGGACTGTGTAGGAGGAAGAGCAGAGAGCGGAGGAGGCATGGTGGACAGGAAGCTCCGGTTCTGCTTCCGGCCCCCCCGGCCCCACCTGCCTCCCACTGCTTCGCAGCCATGGAGACCTGTGAGACGGTGCAGTTTTACCTGAAGCACCTGGAGTACAGCTCGTACCCTGTGATGACTGAGGAGCAGTTTGCTGTGAAGCTGTTCCCCGTGTACCGCTACTTCGTGACTGTGTGGCTGAGGCATTCCAGCCCCGAGGTGAGGTGCACCACCTTAGGAGAGCCCCGCTCTCCCCAGGGTGTGGGGCCACAGATGCACAGGCACCCCAGAGAGCCCAGATCGCCACTCTTCAGACAGTGTTGTGACAGGCAGGTTGGGAACCAATTCCACACCAACTCCCTGATGGAGGGCCACCTTACAAACGAGGAAACTGAGGCATAAAGGTCACCCGGCCCATTGTGCCACCTGTAGATCTTGGGGTGAGGCCCCATCCCGGTCGTGTCCTTGGGCACTGTGGATGGGGCGGAGGTCCCTGGCCTTGCTCAGGGTGCTGTGGCCCCGTCATCGCCTGTGGCAGGTGAAACTGGGGGTCATCAAGTCCCTGAAGCCCATGCTGAACCTCCTCCTGCCCAATGAGGACCTGCGGGAGCAGGTGTATGACTACATCCCCCTGCTGCTGGCCGAGTACCAGAGCAGCCTGGAGCCGCTTTTCATCACGCAGGTGAGGGTGGACACTGCACCCCGGTGGGGAGGCTCAGGAGATCTGCGGCTGTTGAATGTTCTGTGGGTTTCAGCTAGTTGGAAGGCAGAAATGCAAAAGACTCAGCATCTGCCCCTAGATAGGGCTGAGGAGGCTGGGACTTGCAGGATCTGTGGGAAAGGAACTCTGTCATTCACGTGAGAGGGATCACATCCCAAAAAGCCTTGGAGGGAGGTGGTAGCCTTTGCATTAATATCTTATAGCTGCTGTAACTAAGAGCGCAGGGTCTTCAGATCATCCAGCTTCACATCTGCAAAGACCCCATTTCCAAATGAGGTCATGGCCTGAGTTCCAGGTAGACATGAATTTGGGAGACAAGACAGCCTTAGGCTGTGTGAGGCAGAAATGCTTCAGGGTTCCACACCAATGTGTGGCCGGGGCTGACTTCCCTTGTAGGGCATCACTCATCTGTAAGCAAGGCATGGGCCTTGGATGCAAAGGCAAGAGGCAGAAACCAGTGTCACAGGCTTAGGGAACCACCTGCAGATTCTGGCTAGAACATGGGATCCGTGTCCAAGTACATCCTAGGAAAGAAGGGTGGAAAGGCTCTTGAATGCCCTGCTTGGTGAACCAGCATAGCCCTTCCTGAGGTTCAGTGTGCCTGGGAGTCACTGGGCCTGGTGGGATCAGGGTCAGGTCAGCAGGTCGGGCTAAGGCCAGGGGCTGCAGGTACCATGCAGACACAAAGGCCTGGCACCTGACCCTGAGGTGATAGAAGGTCACTTGGAACCATGAGTCCATCCTTTGCAGATCTTGAGACAGATTCTGGAAGCATCAGTCACTACCAACACCCCTGTTCCCCAGATGCAGCTCCGCCCCATTTTCATGGAACTTCACGCTCAGGCAGGGCCAGTGAGCTCTTCTGGGGAGGGCATGAGCAGGGTGGGCTGTGGGAGGTGGCCTGGTCCCTGGCTCACCGGCATGCCTCCTGACTCCTCTGGGTGCAGACACAGCTGGGCTGGGCTGCCCCTGCACCCCTGTCCCCTGTGACCTCACCCAGCCTCCCCACCTCTCCCTGCACAGTTGTGTGGCAAGGGTCCAGCTCCGCACCAGTACAACAACCAGAACCTGGCAGAGACTGTGCAATGCTTCATGGCCCTAGGTAAGGGTCTGTGGGGTGTCCCTTGCCTGCTCCTGGCTCTGCCACACCCCCTGAACACTGGGCCTACCGCAGCACTCTTTTTCCTGCAGCTCGCTCCTACCCCAAGGAGCTCATGAAGTTCTTCAGCCAGATGGAGACAGGCAAGGAGACCCCCTGTGTAGCCACGCTGTCCCTGATCAAGGCTTTGGTGAGTGCCGATGGTGAGCAGAGGTGGGGGGACAAAGCCAGAGGGAGGCTGGGTGGGGTCCACTTACATCTCAGCCACTGCCCTTTCCTCTTGGATAATCGCTGCTGGGCCTGCCAAGAGAACAAGCTCTCTAGGTTCCTTCACATTTCCTGACCTTGAACTTAACTGGCACTGTGTCCCGGCCTCCCCACCCCAGCCTGCTGCGTTTGAAATTCAAATTTAACCCGGAACTGGTTACTAACCTCTAAAGAGAAGGCAAAGCTGGATCTAAGGCCTAAGTAGATCATGTAAGCAAAACCCTAGAGCCCCATGGGCTGGATTCCCACCTTCAACCCCTAACTGATCCCCAAACCAGAACTCCAGACCTGGCCTTGGTATCAGCAGGAGACTGTCATCCTCACCAGGACAACAGCTCATGCAGTATCCTTGTGAATTCAAATAGTGAGCCCCCTGATGGTAGCATGCAACTCTGCAGGCACATAATTGTTAGAAGGGCCTGAATGGGCTCAGCCTTAAAGCAGTATATGAATTGGGCTCCTAGAGGCGTTTGCCTGAAACCTCTCTGTTGGAGAAACTCAAATTTAAGTAACAATAATAAGATCCATTTGATCTATCTGATGGCTGGAGATGATAAAGATAACAGCGAGAGTTGGCCTAGCCATTTTTCTGCAAAAGACCGGTAGCAAAGTAGTGTTGGGCTTTGTAGGAGGTACATCTTTATGATTGCTCAACTGTGCCATTGTCATTAAAAATCATCAACAGACTGATCAAGGCAGCTATGTTCCAATAAAACTTTATTTACAAAAACAAGCTTTGGGCGGGATTTGGTCAATGCACTGTTCTTGACTCATCTTTGATCTAGAGAAAAAAAAAAACCAACTCCTCATACTTCATTGATGGGGATTTAAATTGATAAAAGGTTCTGGGTGATCACTTTAATAGAGGCCAAACTCTGGACTTGAGATTCCAATTTTTTTTGTCAACTGTGAAAAGCAAGTCATTGGATTTGCTCAGGAATAATTAGACAAAGATATTCCTTAAAACATTGTGCTAAAGGCAAAGCATTAGGAGCAGCCTGAATGCTTTTAGAGGGAATTTGTGGGCTGAATGGTTATACATCTGCTCAAGGAATGTTATACCACCATTAGAAAGGGCACAGTCCGTCTGTGCTTTCTCGTGGGAAGGCTGCATGCTCCATGCTAGGCAGAACATTATAGTGTGGGATTGTCTACAGACCTCAGTCACATGGAGAAAACCTGGGTTCACCTATGCATAAACTGCTTTAGAAGGGCACAAATCTGTTCAGAGTGATTATCATTTATTTTAATTTTGCAATTATAATCAGAAATAAAGTTTCCATCTCAGAGATAAAACCATGAAAACTATTCTCCCTTCATGCTTGATTACCTGCCCCCTCCCTTTTCTATCTTTCTCTCTTTCTTTCTTTTGGTGGTACTATAGCTAGAACCTAGGTCTTTTGTGCTGAGGCATACCCCCAGCCCTTTTAAATTTTTATTTTGAGGTTTTACTAAGTTGCTAAATTGCTTAAAGTAGGATTAGATTTGCAATCCTCCTGCCTCAGCCTTCCAGAGTGCTGGGACTACCGGTTCTCTTTCCTGCCCCGGCACTGACTCAGTGACACTTCCTCTCAAAGGCGACCTCAACTTGAACATCTAACTGTCCTCCACTGTTCATACTCGTCTTAGTTACTTTCCTATTGCTGGGAGAAAATACCAAACACCTCAAGTTAAAGGAGGAAAGGTTTATTTTAGCTCAGAGTCTGTAGAGGCTTCAGTCTATAGTCACCTGGCTCCAAGACAGGGTGGTGTCATAGAGGAGCCTTGCAGAAGAGAAACAGTCCATGGCAGGGTAGGCAAAAAGCAGCAGCATCAGCCTTCCTTTTTCTTTATTTTCCACCCAGGGTACAAATCTATTGGTGGTACCACCCACCACTTCCATTTTCAGTAAATTAATTCAGTCATATCCAAACCATGCTAATCCAGTTGGTGAGCTGAGCCAGTTATCACACACCCACAATCCATATTCATACACTGTAGTTCCAGCCACCTCTGCAAATCCCCACCTATGAGCACATGAGGAATTGGGGTGGGCATCTAGATGTAAGCCATAGCAATACTGGACCTCTCCAGGACTTTCTCAGGGCTCTTTCCTGCCTCTCTGAGTCCTCCTCCTCCACACATAGCCCTGTGGTGTGCCAGGCACCCTGCTAACTCATTCTGGCCCACAGAAGCTTGGTGAGGGGGCATGTTATCATTCAGAGTTCCTGGATGAGGAAGCAGAGGCACAGAGGGGCTCCTGATTTACCTGAGCTCACATGGCTGGGGTTGTGGTAGAGTGAGCCTGGATTTGAGCCTAGCCTACCTGGCACAGGGTCCACACTCCTTATAGCTGAGTTTGCAACCTGGTGTGCCTGGAGCAGGGTACCTGGCTGCAGGGATTTGGGCAGGGCTCCAGGAGAGAGCAGCAGAGTCAAATGAGGCCCTCCCTAGGTGGTGGCCAGAGGACAAGGTATAAAAAAATGTCTACCTTTCACCCAGGCCCTCGGGGAAGGCCCTGCTGCTGTGAGTATTGAGAGGAGAGGTTGTGCCCTGGGGCCTTTCATAAGAAAGTGGCCCTGAGTATGGAAGGTGTTGGAGGGAACTCAAGTGAGGTGACAGGGCTGAGCCCCTCACATATCCCTGAGTCACCTCCCTCCAGGCTGGCTTTCCTATTTCAGAGCCCAGAATGAATACCAGGACCATTGGCTTGGCTATCCGGGTGGTTAGGAACTTCCTCTCTGATACCCGGTGCAAGGTAACAGGGCAGGGACCCTTCCAGGGAGGCACCTCTGTGAGGTGGAGGCATTTGCTGTAGGCTCTGCTGGGGACCCTCTTCCCTCAGGGACCTGGAGTTTGCTAGGGCTGAACCTCAGACTCCACCTTGCTGGCCGGGCGACACAGTGTGGGCCTTTTGTTTGTTTTGCAGTACCAGGGCCCTAGCACAGAGCTGCATCCTCTGCCCTCTTGTATGTTTTGCTTTGATATGAGATGTGCCTAAGTTGCCCAGGCTGAGCTCAAGCTTGGGCTCCTCCTGCATCAGCCTCCTGGAGTATTGGGGTTATAGACATGCACCAGCACACCTGGCTTGTGCCAGGCTTTTTACTGCATGTGACAAAAGTGACAGAGGTACTCAGACTCCAGGGTAGCCCCAGGCAGCATGGAGGGCAGCTCAGCTCGGGAGCTGGCTGCAGGCAGGGAAGGGGTCTCCAGGGAGGAAGGGGCAGCACAGAGTTGTGAAGAGCTCAAGGAGGAGGGTGCAGGGTGCTAGGACTGAGATTGGGACAGAGCGGTGGAGAGGGGAGCAGTGGCTGGCTCTGTCTCCCCTGCTCAGTGAGTCTCACTGTAAAAAGTGGATAAAGTGTGGTCAACTACCAGGGCCCCTAAGAAGGGGAGGCCCGTGACAGAAGTGGGGAGTGCAGGGCTCTGAAAGGCTTAGCTGAGGTTCCCTCGGGGCACGCTGCAGAGAGGGATCCCAGAGGAGGCAAGGGGAGGTGGGCAGAGTGGGTGGAGCCCCTGGGCTGGGAGTAGGCTGAGTCCCCTCCCTGAGTTTCCTGTCCCCAGCCTGCCAGGAACCACCCCCTTATCCCCGTTAGGTGAGAGTGGCTGTTCTCTGCATCATCAGCCAGTTGGCTCAGTCCGGCCACCAGGACAGGATCAAAGGCTGGGGCCTGAAATAGGTGTCTGTGCAGCTGACCCTGTCCACCTACAGACCGGTGAGTGGCCCCTCAGCAGCCCATGCAGCAGCTGCTCTTTTGAAACAATTCCCAAAGTGTTGAGCAAAGTGTGCCACCCAGTGTACCTGCGCAGGATGACTCCTCAAAGCGGACGAGTGTCTGCATGTTACAATAAAAGACACTCTTTCAAAGTCTCCATCAAAATCCTTCCCTTTGCTTTCAATGAACTTGTCCCACTGTTCCTGCCACTTTCTGCAGCAGGTTTAGAAGTCCTGCCTCAGTTAAAACTGTGTCCCTTCATGGCCATTTTAACTTTGGAAAAGAGCCAAAGTAGCAGGGCACCAGACCTTGTAAATAGAGTGGACAGGGCATGCTGGGATGTTTTCACAAGCCTGTCTTTCTGTCGGATGACACTCAGCAGAGCTTTTGCTGATTTTTTTTTTTTTTTGGCCATATCTCATAAAGACACTCACAAAAGAAGACTTCCAGAACTGCTTCAGGAAGCAACAGGAGTGATGGGATAAGTGCATGTGAAGTGAAAGGGTGGTTTTTTTTTTGTTTTTTATGGGGAATCAATGTCAGTGTATCTTTTACTGTAATAAATTTTTCTTAATTTAAACATTCTCTCATATTTTGATCCCATCTCCAATGTTAGGCCTACATAGCCATTCATGCCCTGAGTATGGAGATATGTGGGCTGCAGGCTAGAATATGTGCAGTCTCACATGCAGGAAAACCATGCCCAGTCCAGAACATCCTGGAGACCCAACACCATGGCAGTGCTCTGCCAGCCCACTACAGGGCCTCCTTGGTTCTGCCTTCCAGGAAAATCACCGGGAAAATTTTTATCAGAAGAACTTGGAGGAGAAGCTGGTCCACAAAGTCACCATGGATACCATGAGGATCATAACCTCTTCTGTCAGTGGCATGACCAATGTGAGTGAACCCATCCCCACCCTGTGGGCCACCTGGAAGAGCTGATGGGTCTTGTCTGTACCTTACAAGTCAGGAGGGCACCTGAGCATGCCCAGAATTCTGCCCTATCATTTCTTCCCTTCAGGGAGGCTTCCTCTCCCCCTTGTTTGAGAGCTTGCCCTTTGAAATCCAGTTCCAGAGCCAGGTCCTCGGTGTGACCTGCCTCCCATCTCTGTACTCCCAGGAGCTAGGCACTTGCTTGGCACACAGTAGGTCTCAGTATGCTTCACTTGACTTAGTCGTGATATGACCACATGGAATTCACAGGTGACAGGAGAAACAAATACATCACCTTTTAACTGCAGTGAAATGTGACATAGCAATAAGATAGGAAAAATGGATTGTGAAAGTATCAAAGAGTGAATGATGATCCACTAAGTCAGGCCACAGGCTAGATACTTCCTGTCCAGTGGCAGCTAATTTTAATTGCAAAGATAATAATGGCAATCTTTGGAGTGCCCACATGTACAGATACTATAATAATTTTGTGAAGGAGGTTCTCTTATTTTATCACCCTCATTTTACAGAGGAAAAAACTAAGGCTCAGAAGGACTCCCTAATTTGTTCAAAACCTTGCAGTTGGTAAACAGTCAAGCTAGGATTAAAATTACCCTTCCTAATTCATCATGCTGCTTCCCTGGGGGTACCCAGGAGCTGAGAGATTCTCATGCTGGTGATGTTCAGCTCAAGCCACTGCACTGGTTAGCTGGTGGTGCAGGAATTCCCCCAGCTCCTAGGTGTTGGAGGGATAGAAAGAATGTGGAGGATCTGGGAATATCAACCTCTCCTCCAAGGAGAGTGGAGATGGTGGTGAAGTCACAGCTAGAGATAAAGCGCTAAGAATCTGTGTCAAGGAAGATCCATCTGGTCTGCTTTAGCTCATAAAATCCACTAGCACCATCATGGGGGTCACTGAAGGTGAAATGTGCAGGGCAGGCCAGCAGCCTGGAGGCCAGGCAGGAGTGAGTGCTGCTATTGTGGAGTAGAACTTCTTCCTCAGAAAACTCAGTTTTCTACTTTGAAGGTCTTGACCTGCCTGGCTGATACCTACCTGCATTATAAAGGGTGGTGTCCCTTAGGGATCCAGGGCTTTCATCATGGCTGGGTGACATAGCACAACTCCATTAAGTCCATATATTTGGCCATCACAACCTGCAAGCGCAGCTGGGTCATCTGCCCGATGTGCAGCTCTGGGAGATTTGGGCTGAGGGGAGAGCCCCAGATATAATGGGTGTAGGATGGGTAAAAGGCTCGCAGGAATGGGGGTTGGGTGAATGTTTGAGAGGCTCAGCTGGCTGGATACCACCTGGATACCCCTCATAAGACCAAGGTCAGCAGAGTCAGGTCCAGGCTAAGCCTGTCAGTTAGTGGGTCAGGGTACAACTCTGGGGGAGCCTGTAGGACACACACTGTGTCTGGAGCTACCTGCTGCCCTGAGTTCATCCTGGGCCCTTTCCCCACCCTCTGAGCCCCAGGAGTTCTGGATGAGGCTGCTGAGCTGCATCATGGAGACAGACTGCATGGAGGCCTTGACCCCCATCTGCGTCAGCCTCATGAACCTGGCGAGGTGCCAGTTCCACGACATTGACCAGGAGGCTGGTGTGGCTCACAAGAACAAGCACTGTGGGCATCAACCCTGAACCAGCCAGTGGGATGGTTCACCTTATCATCCTTCACCTCGTATCCCCACACCCAAATTTCCCCTTCTCTGGCAAGCAGTAGAATGTCCCAGCCATGTCCAAGGCTGGGTTAACATCGTATAGACTTCCCCCTGGTAGCTCACTCCTCCTGTCGCTTGTCCCCATCCCACACCCCTGGCCCAGGCCCCACCCTGGGGCCTCCTGCAAAGCATCTCAGTCATCCCATCCGAGTCCCCTTTGTACACATAATGTGAGCTCTGGTGACACTAAGCTCTCAAAAAAAGTGACTATGCACACCTACTACTCGTCTCCACTGTCCGTACTTCTCATCCCAAGGTGCTGCTTTCGTGGGCCAGGGGCTTTGCAGGAGGGGTGTAGTAGAGATAGAGTTGATTTAGGGAAGCCTTTAAGATCCAGGGATGGTGAATTATAGAGGATGTTCTCTGAGTTGGCTCTGAGCAAACCCATGTGGCCCCCTGAATTCATGGAGCCAAGTCCTCTTCTATCCCCACACCTGTGACTTCTCAGTGACTTCTTATGCCTGGCCCTTTCTTTACCCATCCTCCTGTGAGCCATAGGTTTGCTTTCTACTGGTCCATGGGTTCCCAGTGCCTGCAGAGGTACAGGAGAGGATGGGAGCAGGGTGTCTAATTCCCACTGGTTCACCAGAGACTGAGGCTCAGAGTAGGAGATGAAGCATTGTCATAGAGAGTCTTGATGCCCTACAGAACATGCATGGCTGAGAAACACCTTCAGAAACTGGTCCATGAGCACGATTCTCCCCTCTCCCTTGGATAAGCCAATGATAACAATGTTCTTCACAGGAAAATCCCCTGTGCTAACTCATGCTCGCTTCTGGGAGCAATGGGATCTCAGTGGGGTAATACTTTCCAAGGTAAAGTCCCCCAGGTGCAAAATACAACATGCCCTGGTATGGGACAGGCAGCCTCAACAGGTTTGCATCTCCTTCCTCAGTGGACCTGCCTGCACCTCAGAAGCTCCTGGCTCGTCTCCTGGTGAGTGGCCAACCTGCATGTCCCCTGAACTGATGAGACTATACCCTGTGGGGCCTCACTCCTGAGCTCCTCATCCCAAGGTGATTGAGAGGAAGGATCTGGGACCCACCTGGGACAGATATTCCTCAGGTCCCAATTGTCCCTCTCAGGAGATGCTGCAGGGCTGCAGTGTTCAGAAAACTGGAACCTGATATGGATGTGCTCCCAGATTCCTCTGCTCAAAGCATCCCCAGGACACTGCCTGTGTCCTGCCTGCCCTGGGGGTGGGCTGTGTCTTCTGGACATTATTCCATGCTCTACTGAGGCTTAGAGAGGAGACAGGCTAGGTCTGGCCTTGTTCCCCTTCTTCCTGCAGCATCTTCTCTATCTTGGAGATCCCTGGGCTTTGAAAATGTCCCACCTTGTCCTGCTCTCTCCTTTACAACAAGGACAGGGAGAGGAAGTGGGGTGCCCAGACCTTGCTCCAGTGACATCCTGGTATCCTCCAGGTGCTGGTGTCATTGCCCTACAAAGGGGAGGGACGTGGGATAGCCATACTCAACCTCTTGAGGACCCTGAGCCACAGCATTGTGCACACCTTGGCCAACATGTGGCAGCAGGAGGTCCCTCTACTGGTCCAATACCTGGAAGGTGAGGTGCCCATTCCTTGTTTGTGCTGGGGCACTGGTCATGACTCAAACAGGAGCCCGGGTTCTCAATGCACCCACAGAGTCTACTTCAGTCTTGGGAACTGGCTGAGCAGTTTGGGGAGGTAGGGAGGGAAATGCCACATGTGATGGACTCCTCTGTGGAGGGCCTCAGATACCAACCTGAGGAGATTGACCCAGAGAGCAGCGTCAGAGGAGAGCAGCCTGTGAAACATGTGTGTACTCCTGCAGAACACACTGAATTCACTTGGAATCAGAAGGCCTGGGAGGACAAGCTCATTCAGGTGACTGGTTTTCTGAGACCCGAATGGGGGTGGGAAGCGAATTACTGGGAGGGCATTGATGGGATTGCCATGTAGGAAGTTTAAGATTCCCCAAAGGACATTGTCTCCTTCTGTCAGAGAGGACTTGGCAAGTGTCAAGTCCACAGCTGTGTCTATCAGCAGGGCAGAACTGAAAGAGACAAATGGCTGAAAAAGCAGAGCAGTGGCATTCCTCTCACCAGCCCCAGGCCCAAGACACAGAGCTACAATTTGGACTGGGGCTGTGAGAAGTGAAGGATCTGGAGATGTGGGGAAGGATGCCCAGAAAGCACATGTCACTGTTCAAGTTCACACAACATTCCTGGAGCCTAGTTGAGGTCAGTGCTGGCATCCCTTGGCCCTGCCCACCAATATCTTCTACCTTCCCAGTTCCTGAGAAACTCTCTTAAGAAGACCAGGGGGACCCGCTGGAGCCTGCGCCTGAGCAAAGAGTTGAACAACCAGATCAAGAGCTTTGAAAGCCCCTCTTCGGAAAAGCTTTGTTCCCATGGGGCCAGGGCAGTTCAGATAGTGGGGAGGACTACAGGGAGGGTAGCCTGGAGAAGATCACAGAGTGTGCATGAGATCCTCTGAACTTATGGTTGTTTACAGGATCCTAGCGGGAGACACAGGAGGTCTTGTCCAGTGATATTTAGTTTTGTTTTACTTATCCTCCAGATTCTGGCTCATGATCATATACACATATTTTTCTTTATAAAAAGTTTTGTTTTGATTCTACAAAACTATAAAAATTATTGAAAGAAATTAGAAAGTTTCAATAAATGGAAAGCATCCCGTGTTCATGGATAGGAAGTTGACATAGTTAAGATGATGGTACTCCCCCAAATTTATCTACAGATTCAGCCTTACCTCCACTATAGTCCCAGTTGCTTTTCTTTTTCCTCCCAAATATTGACAGAGTGATCCTAAAATTCATTATAGAAATGAAAGAGGCCCTGAATATATAACGCAATTATAAAACAGAACCAAGTTGGAAGACTCAAAGTTCCCCCCATTTTAAGATATTTTACACAAATGTAGTAAAGAAGACAGTGTGGTACTGGCATGAGGACAGATATGCACACTGGCGGAATGGACTTGAAAGCCCAGAAATAAATTCTCACATTATGATAACTGATTTTCAACAAGAGGACTCAGTGGAGGAAGGAAGAATCTTTTCAAAAAATAGTTCGGACAACTGGATATCCACATGCAAAGGAACGAAATCAGATCCTTTCTCAACATTATATGCACAGATCAAAATGGATAGTAGACCCAAATATAAAAGCTGAAAGTGTAAAATTTTAGAAGAAAACATAGGCATAAGACTTCATAAGCTTGAGTTAGGCAAAGTCTTCTTAGAAATGGCAGTGAAAATCACAAATGATGAAAGAAAAGATAGTTAAATTGAACATCATAAAAACTAAAATTTCTCAGCCAGGCATGGTGGCACAGCCTGTAATTCCAGGAATCTGAGAGACCAAGGCAAAAAGATTGCAAGTTCAAGCCCAGTTTGGGCAACATAGCAACTTAGCAAGGCCCTGTATCAAAATTAAACTTTTAAAAAAGGGCTGGGAATGCAGCTAAGTGAAAAAGCTCTGGATCCAACCCCTAGTACCTCAAAAAATATCTGGTCTGAAAATAATACCATCAATAATGTGAAAAGAAAACCCATAGAATGGAAGGAAGTATCTGAAAATCATATCATTGATAAATGTGCTGTACACCCACCCCCCACACATATGTTGGAACTCATTAATAAAAAATAAATAAGTTGATTACAAATTGGCAAAGCATTTAAATAGACTTTTCTTCAAAGATGCACAAATGGCCAGTTAAGGAGATGAAAAATTTGTTCAAGATCAATACCATTAGTGAAATGTAAACCAAAGCCACAGTGAAATGTGGAGTAACTGCAAATGGATACAAAGTATCTTTAGGGGATGATAAAAAATGTTCTAAAACTTACTGTGGTGATGGCTGTACAACTCTGAATATACATTGAACTTTTATATTTTAGCTGGATGAGTTTTATGACATATGAATTACATCTCAATAAAGATATTATTTAAAATGTTTTTACAGATGTCAACCAAAAATTGCATTTGTAAATATTTTTCCTTGTTGAGTATGTAAAATAACAAACAGCAAAGAATATATTACGGATACCTTTGTTCCTGAACACTGTAGATTAATATGTATGCATGTACAAGGCATTATCAGATGTCGATTAAAGTCCCATTTGAAAAAAAATTGAATATAGCCTCTAGTAAATAAATGAGTACAGGGTCGGGGATTTAGGTCAGCGGGGCTGTGCCAGCCTTGCAAGCACAAAGTCCTGAGTCTGATCCCCATACAGAAAAAAAAAAAGCATACAATTCAATCATATCACAGTAACTCATTTAACTTTCCATCTCCCATGCTAGCATCCTTCAGGTGGGGGCCAGGTAGCTGACAGCAGTCTCCAGGCTTGTCAGTCTTTTCCCAAGATTGGTATGCAAAAATCATTGTCTTTCCTATATGCAAATGATGAAGCAAGGTACGAAAAAGGGTTCCCTTCAAGGTAACAGCCTAGTGGAACATATAAGCAGATAAAATATGGGCTATATGAAAGAAACACAGGGAACAAAGTGAAGAATAGAATATCACAAGGAGGAGCAGGGAAGTGAAGGAAAAATGTGAAAAATGGACAGGTTTTGTTGTTCATGGACAGGAAGTCTTAGTGTGGGAATGTCCATTTTCCCCAAGTGGATCTGTGACACAATTTACTCCAGTCAAATTCCTTCAAGGAGTGTTTGTGCAAATGTGAAAGTGTTTAGGACTTGACAACATTATTTCCATCTTCTGCTGCGGAAATGAGATTAGTTCACAGCACATAAAAAGAAAGCTCGTGAGGAAAGATTTGATCTCCCAGAACAGAGCAAAGATTTCAGTGTAGAAAATAAAAGAAAACCATGGAAAAATGTGACAAATATATTGATGAATATTTTAGTCTTAATATGGGATTAACTTTCATGTGCGTGAAAAGAAACCAACACAAAAGAAAAGATTTACCAGGATCACAGTGGACCATGTGATGAAATCAAACTATCAGGAATGAAGTCAAAAGGAAGATGAGACATTGGCCATTGTACTCCTGTGAGTGGCCTTCATGTTGAGAGTTTTGATGAGCAATTGTTAAGAAAATGAACCTCCAGATATGACCGTTTGATTTTAAGTCCTGGTTCCATTTCCTGCTTGCTTCCTCATTGCTAAGTACAGTAGTCATATTTACATTATAACATTACTTAGAGGATTAAATGTTATAATACATTCTTCTCCTCCTCCCCCTCCTCCCCCCCTCCCCCTCCTCCTTCCTCTTCTTATGTGTTTCCAAATGTACAATCTAAATTCTTATAAATAATACTAGAAAAGTTAGGGAATATAGCCAGAAATTCAAAGGATTAACTTGGCTCAGGAGAATATGGAAAGATGATCAACATGACTCGTAGTCAAAGTAACAGATCGAAAGGAGAGCGCTCTGCTTCTCACCCATGGTATCCTGCCAGGGACTATGGAGCAACCTGATGCCCCTAGACTTTCTGGTGGGAGTGTACAAGGGCTCGGCTTTGTAGGGCAGGAACATGGCCTCCACTACTGAAATGTATGTCTGCCTTTTACAGTCAGACCGCAGAACATCCCAAATGTTTATATAACAGCATATAGGGAATGCATAGACAGCTGTCCTATATGTATGTGTGTGGAGCAAGCGCTCTGTAACAGCACCGCCTGGAGGGTGGGCTGGGGAGGTGTGCTCTCCTTCCTTCCTTCTGCCCCTCCAGGGCTTCCTGTACAGGGCCTTGGGCTTCACCCTGGCCATGGGCCTGGAGGCCGACAAGGTGCAGTTGCTATTGTTGGAGCTGCTGTACAAGACAGACTATGGCAACGACTTCAACAGGGAGGTGAGGATGCCTGCCTTCCCCTGTCCACCGATCCCTCTGGACCCAGGGAGGGAAGGGGATCATGTGGGTCAGTGTGTCCCTGTGCATGTAAGTAGGTGAGTGCATTCGTGTGCCTGTGCACCTGTGGCTATTTGTGCATCTGTGTGTGTGTGCACACGTGTGTGTGGGCTACTCCTCACCCTGGCTGGCTGGGTCTCCCTTGCAGGGCGTGATTCAGTGCTTTGGCCTATGTGCTCGTGGCCAGGTGAAGATGGTACTGAATGTGCTCCGTGACTTCGAGGAGAGGATCCAGGAGTCAGAGCACACCTGGCAGATCAGTGCCTGGCAGGTGGGGCCCCCTTTGCAGACAGCTGTTGTGTGGGAACTCTGAGGGGAGGAAAGGCTTTGGCCGGGTCCCCATAGGAAGCTCCCCTGGTCTCCCAGGGCACAGTGACTGTGCTCAGGGGCCTCCTCCCCCAAAGCCTGGGCTGTGGCTTCATCTGAAGAACACAAGCTGGGCCTTTCTGGGACCCGGATACTGGATCCGGGCTCACAGCTGCTGGATGCACGTGGTGGGTTCCTCAAACCCTGGACGCAGAGTCCAGGCCCTATCAGAGCTGAAGATGCTTGGCAGGTGCCGTCCACATGTGTGTTAAGCTCTGCCTCAGTGAGCCCACCGGGCTGTGTCATATGGTGGGCCCAGAAGTACCTCCTCCCTGCCATGTATAGGAGAGGACTTGGAAGCGCATGCAAAGGCACTTGATTGGTCAGTGAGGACACCAGGATTTGGACTCACAGGGCCCAGGGGTCTGCTGTCCAATCACTGCCTCTCCCTGTCCCAGGGCATGCAGTTGGCTGAGACCCCAGTGGGGAACCATCTGGGGGCATCAGTGCCTCAAGCGCTGGCCTTGACCTCAGCCCCACATCCTGGCATCTGGTTTGGATGGAGAGAAGGGAGGCAGTCCCAGGCTTCGGCACAGCAGGCCTGGACCCCAGGTTTCTGCTCTATGCCCAGCTGTTCATGAAAGGCCCCAGCTCCTGTCCAGGGATTTTGGTGGCTACAGCACCTCCTTCTACCCAGAGGTGCTCAGAGGCTGCTCACACCGGGAGGGCAGGGCTGGACTGTTGCCCCTGCTGGTTCCACACATGTGTTAAGCTCTACCTCAGCGTGCCCACTGTGCAGTGTACCCATGGGCACTCAGCCTTCATCAGGTGCCCGGTGAGGGAGGCACGAGGAGTGTGCAGGTGGCCCCTGCTCAGGGGGTCCACCCGAACTTCACACAGCTCATGTGTGGTCCTGGCACCCGTCTTGGATGGAAGCCTCCCTGGCGGTGGGAGGGAGGGGTTACTGGTCCGTCACCCCTTTCTGCCCAGTGCCTGGTGTGGGATGAGTGCTCAAGAAACACGAATGAACAAATGTGTGAATAGGTGAGTGAGTGCTTCTGGGACTCTGAAAACAGTCAGCTGGAGCATCCTTATGCGGCCAGAGACTGCGGCAGCCCCTGCTTTCCCCAAGAGGGGCTTGTGGAGCAGCCCCAGCCGCCCTTAGTGGTGTGTGCTCTCCTTCCATTCCCTGCAGAAGGACCTCCCCTGGCAGAGGGAGGCCATCAAGAGCACCCACATGATGATGTACAGCTGCGTGTCCTCCTCCTGCCACCCCCAGATGCTCCTCGCCTACGTGGACAGCCCCACCATGGCAAAGATCATTCACCACTACTCCAGCAGCTGTCAGGTGATCGCATCCCACAGCCAGGGCAGCCTGGGGAGGGCCCCCTCCCTGAGCCAGGCTGGCGGAGTGTCACCCCATGTCATCATCTGGACATCCCTCGTCCCCTGGCAGCACTGGGGACCTGCACTGTTCCCTGTCCTCTGGGGTCTTGTGTGAGTCCCTGGAGGCCATGGGGCTGGCCCTACCTCCTCGCAGCTTCTCTGTGTGTGGCTCTGCCTGACACTGACCCCTGGTCCAGGTTCCTTCCTGAGGGACAAGGAGGGAGTTGTCCTCAAAGAGGTGCAAGGGGACTGAGTACTTTCTTGGGATGGCAGGAAGAGAACACACAGAGAGCAAAGCAAGAGTTATTTAATTTTTAATTTTGAAAACTGTGAGAAAATGCATCAAACATAAAAACTTCTACTGGGACTATTTTTTAGTGCACAGTCAATGGCAGTAAATACATTCACATCACTGCGTACCCAGCACGACCCCCGTCGCTAGAATTCTTGGTCTTCCCAAACTGAAACTCTGGCCCCACTGCACACTAATTCCCTGTCCTTCCATCCTCGCCACTGCCCCGCTTTCTGCTTCTATGAATCTGATGACTCCAAGTTCTTCCTGTAAACAGATTTTTTATTTTTTATTTTTTTGGTACCAGGGATTGAACTCAGGTCCTTGTGCTTGCAAGGCAGGCAGCAGAACCACTGAGTTAAATCCCCAAACAGAATTTTTTAACATCCCATTTTTTACTTCAATAGCTGAGGCTGCCTCACAGATGACACACAGAGTGACCCTGGTTACTGCGGGTGCTGCTGACTGTGTTGCTACCTCCGGCACAGCTGTGGGAGGCTTGGGGGAGTTGAGAGCTTCCCAGAGGCCCCCTGATACCAGCCCTCTTTCAAAGCAGAGGAAGGGTCTGTGACTTGTGATCTTCCGGGACTCCCTTGTAAATGGGCTCCCCTTCCCACCCGCCTTCCGGTCACAGGACATCGGTCTCAAAATGGCCTTCATGAAGAGTGTGGTGCAAGTCACCGGTGCCATCAGGAACATCCAGGACCCCGGGGACTTTCAGTTTGCCCCAAAGTTGACTCTTACTAGCCTCAAAACGGTGAGCCGGGCACAGCTCCTCAGCCTGGGTGCTTTGGGTTCTGACTCGCTATGAACGGCTCCCTGCAGGTTTTCAGAGCCCCTGAGAGTGCTCAGGGACAGGGCTGCGGAGCCCTCCCTGTCTCGGTTCTGCCTCTGTCCACCAACTGTGCAGTTCTGAGAACAAGTGCTGCATCTGATAAAGGGGCTCACAGGTAGGGATGGGTAAGATGCCAGGGCGGAGCCTCAGCTGGCATGAGTCCTGCTGTGACTGGAGGTGGCTGGCTCGGGGGCAGTGGGCACAGGTCCAGCGGGAGTCCAGTGGCAGCCTTGGTGTTTCCTAAATAGTGGTCTAGAAACAGGGCTTAGAGAGACATTTGCACAGAACTTGGGCGAGATCCAGAAAACATCAGTTGTCCAAAGGCTGACGCAGCCTGGTGGACAGCCTGTGACCTTCATCCCAAAAACCTCCCCACCCCAGTGCTGCTGCCTGTGGAAAGTGCCCAAGGTGTGCTGGATGCTGTTCCTGGAATGTGTGTGCGGGGTGGGTGGCTGGCACCAAGGAGGTGAGCCTCTGCTGGCCAGGAACTGAGGTGCTTCATGCCAGCCTGGCACGGCCCCGTAACACAGACACTGAGTCTTGTGATGCACTCAGAATCTTGGCCAAGACACCAGCGAGTCAGCAATGGCCCCGAGCGAACCACTCCTTCCACAACATTCCATTGCCAGGTCAATCTGAAAAGGACAAAGGAGGTGTGGGCCTTAGGACCAGCTCTCCCATACTAACCCTGGGGAGTGTGGCCACTGTCACCACCACTGTCTGCTAGGCCCATGGCTCCTGGCCTCCCAGACCTCTGGAAGGCCCACACATCACTACTCTGCTTGTACTGGGCAGGCGATCATCCAGGCGGACCTGACCGACCACCTGGCTTCTCCCGTGCGGGCACTGGCCATAGATGCGCTGTCACACCTGAGGTGAGTGGGCCCTTGCCCAGCCCCACGGCCGCCCCAGGGCTGGGGACAAAGCCCAAGGCTACCCCCTCAGTGCACCTCCACAGCCTGCACTGCCTCATCCTCCCTGCTCTGTGGGGCCTCAGGCAGTGGGCAACCTGGAGATGGGGTCTGCTCCATTCCAGTTCTTTCAAGCTGGGTGCTTCTCTTGGTTAGGGAGGCAAAGGGAGGTGGGTGGGCTGTTCTGGGTCCACCAGGGGGAAGTTTTGAGCAAGAAATCATAGTGGGGATGCCAAAAAGCATCATGGGAAGATGGCACTTTCCAAGGTGGGTTGGGCCCTGTCAACAAATTGAATGCCCTTTATTGTTAGCCTTTATGGAAGGCAAGGTATCACCCAAGGTTTGCCCCCCTGGAGTTAGCAGTCCACTGGAGGGCAGGAGGAAGAGGTGGAAGTTAGAGATTTGTGAAATTAGTGCTGGAAATGGTCAGATCAGCTTTAGGCTGCTTTAACAGTAGGAGATGGACCATTCGTTAGAGACTCAGCAGAGCTGCTCCCTGCTTTCAGAGGTGACACAGGGTCAGATTTCAAATATGTTTCAACAAACTCAGTTGAGTATATATTCTGTTATATGCTGGGTACTGAGCAAGCCCTGATCCCAAACTTTCCAAACTTTTAGGACTTGGAGAAAAGACAAACATATACAAACAAAATTATAGGTCACACACAATTAAGAGGAATATATTTGCAGGTGAGCAGAAAAAACAGTTTCTGTAGGATAGGGGCTACCCAAAATCTTGGTGCAGGAGGCACCCCCCTGACTTTTCACCTGGACATACACATAAAGATTAGATTTGAGTAGGAGTGGGGACTTCCTTGGAGGGTGAAGGACAAGGCAGGTATATGGCCCAAGTTTACAGTTAAGGTAGGATGGTGCCTCTCCGCGCTGGCACACAATAGACCACTGGGGAACTTTGAGATTTAAATTTAGACGTGGGCCTGGGGGTCCTGGGAAAGCCCTCCAGGTGACTGTGATACACAACGAGGCTCCAGCACTATCGATGCCTAGAGCGGAGAGTGAGCTACATGCACCACCCTGCTAGACACCAACCCTGCAGAGGTAACTGAGACACAGATGATGGGGACACTCCCAGAGATTTTAACACAGTAGGCCTGAGGTAGCAACATAAAATTTATATTGCTAATGCACTCCAAGCTTCTGCTGATGGTCCAGGTATTGTACTCGGAAAATCCTGAACTAGGAAGGGCCTAGTGTTATGCCCAAGTCGTGAAGTCCCCAAAGACCACCAAGGAGTCAGGTCTGATGCAATTACAAGAGGAGTTTATTTCAAGCTCGAGCCTGGACCCTCGGGTGTCACCATCACAGCGGCTTCAGACCAAGAGCCCAGATCCATCTTTGAAGCGGGCTTATATAGGGTTAGGGAGACTCTTTCCTTTTATAGGTCCTATTTTTAGCTCTCGCTTACTATTGGATATTTGAGGGGTACTGGGAGGGCACTTACTGGAAAATTACTAATGCCTGCATTCACAAAATCAGTTCCTCTTTTTAAAGAACATCTGATTAAACAAATTCTGTAATTAACAAAAACTACATATATAAGCAATGACTAATGCCTACATTAGCAATGGCTACCTATATAAGCTATAACTAATACCTATATTGGCTAAATCAATTTCAGCAATCCTTCTTTTAAAAAACATTGATTATTTTAAGCAGGAAGAATTCATCTTTAGATCATAAAAAGAGGAACAGAAATAGGGTGGAGATGCCCTAAGACAGCTTGCCCTAAAAAGAGGAACAGAAACACAGGGAGACTGTCATACTGAATGGAGTTATACAAAATGGAATTTTTGCAGCTCTGTTCTGGGCAAGGGGCACACAGGGAGCCCATCTTGACCTGAAAACTTGGTCCTTACACTAGGAGGGCAGGCTCATGGCTGTGATTGGGGAGAAAGGCCATCCTTGGGCTGATTCAGGGAGATTCATTAGAGCAGGTGGGAGCACATGGGAGAGGTGGCCTTGTACTTCTGAATCTCTGTCTTAGTCACAGGCACAGCACTGAATACTGGGACCAAGCAGAGCAGGGGCCCAGGCTGGGATGCGTTGCCTGAACCCACAAAGAGGAAGTGGGCCTTCCCTTATTCTGCAATTCACCTCTGTACCCAGACTGGACAGAGGGTGGCACAGGCTCAACTTCCTCATAATCTCTCCTCTTTCCCCAGCAAACTGAGGCCCTTCTACTCCACAGAGGAAAGCAGTGAGCTGATGGAGATCAGTATACATTCTGTAGTTTCTCTCCAACCCCCAGGAGAGGACAACGAGTCCATTAAGGTATGTCCCCCAGGCCGCCTCTTTCTGGGTCAGGACCCGGAAGTTCAGTGGAAGTCTGGTGCCGTCCCAAACCACCTGTGAGTGGTTACAGGCAGCAACATGTAGCAGGCTGTCTGCAAGGTGATACTGACTGCTATAACGACTAAACCGTGAGATGTTGGTGGCTTCACCAGATATTGAGGTCAGCTTTCCTGGGACAAAATACCCGACTCCTGCAACTTAAAGGAGGGGAGTTTTAATTTGGCTCCTGATTTGGGGGTTTCAGTCCATGCTCAGCTGGCTCCAAGGCAGCAACAACATGGTAGAAAGGCCTGGCAGAGGAGTGTGGCTCACTTCGTGCCAGCTAAGAAGCAGAGAGAAAGGAGGAGGCATGAACAAGACTACACCTTCCAGACTGCACTCCCAGTGACCCACCTGCAACCGTGCCCCAGCTCCTAATAGTACAAGAGCTCATCAATGGATAAATCTATTGATAAGCAGAGTGCTCCCATGGCCAATCACCATTCAAAGGCCCTGCCTCTGACACATGAGACTTTGGGGGGATGATTTGAGATCTAAACCATTCCACAGATAAAAGTTGGTTTCTCAGCTCAGCAAAATCCAGTGGTGATGAGTTGGGGAGGGTGTAACTACTTCACATAGTCATCAGGGTAGTCAGTGTTCAGTCATCAGTCTTCAGAGTGAGGCTCCTAAAGTCCCTTGGACAGTGACATCTAGCCTGGACTGGGAGGAAAGAGAAGCATAAGGGAGATTCGTGAGCCATTTGCCGTCCTTGCACAGGCAACCACGTACTCACAGGGGTCTGTGTAGAGCAGGGATACTGGGAGAGCGAGCTGGTCCACACCACCCAGCCCATTACCACCCCTGGATGGCTGTTTCCCAGCAGTGCTGTGCCACAGGAAAACAAACGCTGGTGGACAGGGGGCCACCTGTGCCTCGAGGGCCCGGGCCTGGGTGAGGGTCAGGAGAGCTGGGCTCTGGGAGCTTTGTGGGACTTTTCTTCTTGCAAGCTTGCCTTGTACCTCACACGCAGAGATGAGCATTAAGAACAAAGAGTGAGCAGCAGCTAATGGGTGATCATCAGGCCACCTCACTCTGAGCCTGAGGTAGTAGACACCTGTGGAGTCCTGGTGGGTGACTCTGTGCCACTCACGGCTGCCCACCTCTCTGTCTCTCCACTCTTGGCCATAGAGCCTGTATGCGAATGCCCTGCGCTCCCTGGAGCGGCTGATGGAGAGCCTCCTGCAGAGGCAGCTGGACCCTAAGGGGCTGCAGGAGATGGTGCATGTGAGTTTCCTGAAGCCAGGGTTGGCTATCCCTCCTGGGAAGTGGGTCTGAAGGCCACACTGTGGGAACAATGATTTCATTGACCTCTCTTCTCTCTTCCAATGCATTAATAAATGGTAGTGACTTCCTTGTGATTACACTTCACATGTGCTGGAAAAGTACAGGAAGAATACAAAGATGCTTCTTGTCCAGATTCATAATTCTTAATATTTTATTATAGTTTCTTTTTATGTTTTCCTTTCTCTTTCTCATTATTCATGCACGCACACACATGCACACAAACAGACATGCATGCATGTATATGCACACATCTTTTGAAGCATGAAAAGTTAGTTGCAGACATCAAAACCAACCTCTTACATTACAACCACACAGTGATCAGTGATCAAAATCAGGGGCTTTAATGTCAATACAGCGCTATGTTAAATCCTATGATCCATATTCAAATTTTGTAATGTCCCAGCGATTTTGCAATCGTCCCTTTGCAGTGAGTCCCACAATGCCATGCAGATTTTGCACTGCATTTAGTTGCTGTCTCTTTATCTTTCCCTGTCTTAGTTACTTTTCTCATTACTGAGACAAAGCACCCAACGCCCAAAGTTAATGGAGAAAAGACTTATTGTAGCTCACAGTTTGTAGAGGTTTCAGTTCATAGTTGACTGGCTCCAAGGCAGGGTGGCACATGGCAGAGGGGCATCTCAGAGGAGAAACAGTTCATGGCAGGTAGAAGGCAGAAAAAGCACAGTGAGCAGCAAGTGACAAACAACATGCAATGACAACAGCAGCCCTCCTTCTGTTTCTTATATTTCGTCCAGGCAACCCACCCCACCACCACTCACACCCTTAATCCTGGCATTGCACCACAAATCAATCCCAGGATCACATCCTTGATCCCAGCAACACACATCCTAGATCAGCCACCTCCAGAAAACCCCACCTAGGACTGTGTGCAGCCTGGGGGAACAGCTAGACAGAAGCCATAACATTCTCTAATCCAGAAAATACTTCTTTGTCTCTCATAACTTGCATTTTTGAAGGAGTCTGGCTAATTTTTAAAATTAGGTTTTTTGCTTTCTTATTGAGATTTGGAGGTTTTGTATATTCTGGGTACGTCAGCTGTGTGATTTGCAAATTTTCCTCCTACCTGTGGATCATCTTATCATTGGTTTTCCAGGATTTTGGAATAAAGTGAAGTTTCAAATTTGAATTAAGTTTAACTTCTCAGTTTTTCTTTTATTGTTCACCATTCCAGTGTCGAGTCCAGGAATTCTTTCTGTAAGACTGCAGCAATTTTTTCCTATATTTTCTTCTAGATGTTTTATATTTCCAGGTTTTATAATTAAATCTATTGTACATTTTGAATTAATATTTGTATGATTTGAGGTATGCATATAAGTTCTATTTTGTATTTTGTTGCACATGGGTAATCAAAATTCCAGCATCACTGTTGACTGTCCTTCTTCCATTGCACCTTTGTTAAAAATCGACAAGTGACATATACATGGGGGTTATTTCTGGGTGCTTATTCTGGTCCCTTGCTCAAATTATCTGTTTTTATACCATTATCAAGCCTTCTTTATTGCTATAATGTTATAAGACTTGAAATTAACACCAGATGTGAGTCCATAGAATTGGTTCCCCATATCCTACAATTTTTGATATGTTGTATTCTGATTTTAGCTTCTTTAAAATTCCTTTTGATTTTTTCTTTGACCCATAAGTTATTTAGAAATTCCCGACTACTTATGGATTTTTCCAGATATCTTTCTCTTCTGATTCCTAATTTATCTCCATATTGTCTGAGGACATGCTTTGTATAGTATCAATCTTTTGTTTAGACTAATTTGTTTCCTAGATATGGTCTACCTTGGTCAATATCCCATGTGCACTTGAAAAGTGTCCTGTAGTTGCTTGGGTGGGAGTGTTCCTAATGTTAATTTGGCCACACTGTGTAATGATATTGTTCTTGTATTTTGTATACTTTCTGATATTCTGTCTTGTTCTATTAATGAGGAGGGGATCTGAAATCTTGGTCATTGTAGATTTATTTTTCTTTTCATTCTGTTAGTTCTGCTTTGTGTACTCCTTAGCTGTGTATCAGGTGGGCAAGCATTTAAGATGGTAATGTTGTTAGTGAATTGATCCTTTATTACGATGTCATGACTTCCTTTGTCCATAGTAATTGCATTAGCTTTCCATTGCTGTGACAAAATACGGGAGGAAATCAATGTATGACAAAGAATAGCTTATTTCAGCTCATGGTTTCAGAGGTTTCAGTCTGTGGTTGGCTGGCTGCATTGTGTGGCCAATAACTCATCATGGCAAGAATACCTAGCAGCAGAAGGTGCTTGCCTCATAGTGGCCAGAAATCAAACAGGAAGGAACTGGGTACCAATGTGCCTTCAAGGGCACTTCTTTGCTGACCTAACTTCCTCCCACTAGGCCCCACCTCCTAAGGGTTCCATTGCCTCCAAGTGACCCCATAAGCTGGTGACCCAGCCTTCAACACTTGGCCTTTGGGGGACATTTAAGATCCAAAAAATAAAATAAAATAAAAAGCTCATGCATTCTATGCTCTGAAATGGCCTTCGATGTCAGAATGGCCCTCAGTGCCACCTGGGATGCAGGTTGTCTGTGCTCTCAGCTCTCCTTGTGAGCAGACTTTGGAACCAGGTTAACCTAAGGCCAAGCACCATCTGGGTGAGGGTGCTAGGGACCTGCCTCTGCCCATAGCCGAGCCTCATCTCCTCTCCTGGGAGGAGCTGGAAGGAAGCCAGAGTGTCTAGGACCATACAGAGGCAAATGAAAGTCAAATCCTGCGTGGGAGGGATAAGGAGGGCAAAGCTGGCAGGGCGGGGCTGGTCCCTGGGTTCCACTGTCCAGTTCCATGTTCTGGGCTCTGCCCACAGCTCCTGGAGAAGTGGATCCTGTCAGGGAAAGACTGGGAGCGAGAGAAGGCCATGAACCTCCACCTGCACCTCATGGAGATCTATATCCGAAGTGTCGGTTTCTGTGTGAGTCTGGGGCCACCTGACCCCCAGCCTGCCACCCCGATTTCTATAGGAGGGGCTCTCTCCATGCCAGGGAACAGGGACTCCTGAAACAAGGCTCCATCCCTGAAGAGTCCCTTGGAAAGAGGCTGTGATTCTGGTGTGAGTGAGGGAGCAAAGGACAGAGGGGTGGCTCAATGTGGACCCAGATGGTGGGACCTGGGGCTCCTGCAGTGATAAGGGTACTATCAAGACGGCAAAAGGAAGAGAGAGAGAAAGAGAGTGAAGGAAGGCAAGCAAGGAAGGAAAGAAATGAGGAAGAAAGAAGGAAAGAGAAAGAGAAAGAGGCCTGGCCTGGTGGTGCATGCCTATAATCCCAGCACTGTGGGAGGCTGAGGCAGAAGGATCACAAGTTTGAATCCTTCCTGGCTAACTTAGCAACTTAGTGAGACCTTGTCTCAAAATAAAAGAACAAAAAGGGGGATGTAGCTGGATGTGAAGGCCCATCTCCAGTGCCACAAATAAATCCAAACAAACAAGCAGATAGAAGCAGGCTAGATAATTATAAATACCACATAGGAAAGAGTACTTAGAATGAGAAAATGAACTACTACAAAGTCAGAAATTTTATAAAGCATAACATGTAACAGAAACATCGTGAAACCTAGAACAAGACAGAAGTTTGCTGCACTAACTGGCTGACACAGGCCTCTCTTCCCCGCTCATTGGCCCCATGCTCCAACAGCCTTGTCTGCAGGCACAGCTGTGTGCAGGAGGATGAGGGTTCTCCTGCTGAGAAGTGGGTACAGCCTCGGGTGTGGGGGTAACAGTGAGACCCTGGGGCACGTGATGCAGGCGGAGGAGGCTCAGTGATGCTGTGGAGAATGTGCTTCCTGGGTTCTCCTAGGCGATCCTCACAGCCTTCTCTGGAAGAAGAGCCCCTGTTACCACTGCCACTTTAGACAAGAGATGGAGGGCAAGTCCCCTGCCCTGGTCACCCAGCTAGCGAGTGAGGAAACCCATGTGGGATCCCAGGGCCCAGTTCCAGGAAGAAGCAGGTGCCTGGAATTAGAACCCAGGCCCAAGATTTTTCTGCCCATTGGGACAGAGCTGGTCCCAGCATCGGATGCTGGTTCATGGACTCCAGGATCCAGTGTTGTGTTCACACCCTGGGGCACAACCTCTCTGTTTGCTCCGGTTGTACAAGGAGGTGTGAGTCCTTGCATCTCCTGACACTAAGATCCCCCTGAAGCTGGGCCAGTTTGGCACTCTGGTGGGACTCATTGCCCCATGCACCTGTGATGCCCACCCAGGAACCTGCATGGCCTCCACTAATGTCCTGTCCAGCCTGCTAGATCTTCATGGTAAGGGGCAGGCGGGTTGGGAGGGACAGTGGGCATCAGGGTGCCAAGGGCATCACCAAGAGACCATGGCAGCTTCTGAAAGCAGAGGCTCACTGGTTCAGGTCAATTCACCAAGAGCTTGTGCTTGGCACTGATTGGCCCCAGTATAAGGTTGGCTTGTAGGTGCCAAAGCTGTGGCAGACCTGGCAAGGGCCAAGGTCTGGGTTGTGCAAGAGGTGTTCAGGCAGATGTGCACCGCAGAGAAGGCTCACTGGGAGCAGGGGGACCAAGCGGTGGAGGAGCAGATGCTGGAGGGTGACTGGAGCGCGTGCAGAGCCAGGGCAGCCAGTCTCCAAGAAGTGGCCCAGACCAAGCCCTGCATCCTGCTGATCACGTCTGAAAGTGTATTCCCAACAGCAAGCCAGACCTGCTCCTTATGGGACGCTGCCAAGGAGATGGAGCTGCAGAGATGTAGGGAGGACCTGCTGAGCATGGACGAGGGGAAGATTTCCTGTGCATCCTCCAGAATCGCCAAGGTGATGGCTGCTCTCCAGAGCCGGAAGGCCAGGGCTGTCCTCGGCTGGCTGCACATCTCTCCGTGGGTGGCAGCTTCCCCGGCCTTTGGTGCAACAGGTGCCTCTTATGTTAATGTCCTGCATGGGTCAGGTCCCAGGGGGTGCCTGGCACAAAACAGGTGCCCCACACTCCCTGCTGGCTCCTCCTGGTCCCCACGCTGTGCTGCCCTGAGCATGGAGCAGGCATCCAGCGATTCAGCTGGCCCTGCACACTGGCACCAGCACACGGGCACACTGAAGGCACAGTCATGGGCGGAAGTGCCCAGGGCCTCTCCACAGGGCTTGGGATGTCATGGGGTGATGAGGCCACATCTGCCCCAGGGGTGGAGGCTGCCTCCTAGTGAAGGGGGCCTTTCAGAGTGGCAGGAGGAGGTCAGAGGGTGTCAGGGCTCAGCACACAGGCTCGGGGCGAGCGGGGTGGAGACAGGGAGAGTTTGGGGGGCAGTGTGGGCAGGTGGGGACCGTGACGAAGAATGGGAGGGGCCGGGTACACACAGGAGCCTTGGCAGCCGGGCCCGCCAGCCAGGGGGAGCCCTGTGAGCCGGG